GCTAACCTCGTGCGGGACTGGGCGAATGACGTCATCAAACAGGGCAGGGAATGTGATGTCATAAACTGGGAGGCGGATCGGCAACATGGCTTCACGAAAAGGAAATAGTGACGTCATCAAGCATGCCGCCTAGTCGAAGATGTTACGTCATCAAGCATGGCGCCAAGTCGGGGAAGTGACGTCATTTAGGGGGACAAAATTGGAAATGTGACGTCATTAGTGGGACTAAACTGGAAATGTCAACAAACTGGAAGGCGATCAAGCAATAGGGACTTCACGAAAAGGAAAAATGAAGTCATTAAACGGTAATTAAGCGGGGAGTCGAATCAACAGAGGTGTTCAATCAGGAACATGAGGTCATCAGAGTGAGTTCAAAAGGGGATTCAAATCGTAATCATACAAGCACAAAGAGAGTTAAATTGAGAACATGACGTCAGAAATGAGATATGGAATTCGTCATAAACGGAAATTCTAATCGGTAATACGATGTCATAAAAAAAAATAATAATAATAAACCGGGAATAAAACATCAAAGGGAAGTCATCAAACCAGAGATAAACTAAGAATATGACACCATCAAACAGCCGGCAATATCAACATCCTTAAAAAAACAATTAATAAAAGAAAACGCGTCATCGACCTCAAAGAAAACGACGTCATTGCCACGTGATTAAGAAAAAAGAAAAAATAATAATAAATATAAAAAGGGTTGAAATAAACAAGAAAAAAATGCCAGGAATAGAAAAAGTATGGGACACGAAGGGGGGGGGGTGCGGAGGGAGGGAGGAGGGGGGGCGGAGGTGCCGGAATGAATATGTAAATGAGTCTAAATGCGGCTATGGTACGAAAATGGAAGGGAGGCGGGAAACAAGAGAGAAACTGGGCGATTGCGAATAGAGGAGCTGAGAAAGAGAGAAGGAGAGGATTGAGATAGTAGGAAGGGTAAGCAGGAGGAGGAGAGAGGGAAGGAGGATAGAGGGAAGGGAAGAAGGGAGAGAGGGAGAAAGAGAGGGAGGAAGGGAAGGAAGGAGGGAGGAAAGGACGGAAGTAAGGGAGGGAGAGAGGGAAAGAGGAACGAACGAACGAACGAACGAAGAAAAGGGAGAAAGGGCGGTTAGAGGAGGGAGGGAGACAGAGAAGAATACACAGAAAAAGAGAAACAGAGATACGGGAAAAAACGAAGGACAAAACACAAAAACAAAAATGACAACAGACCCTACAACCAAATAAAAGAGGACACATGATGAAACAAGGCTCACCTAAATACAGGAACTAAGAGACAGAGAGAGAGAGAGAGAAGAGAAAAGAGAAAGAGAGAAGGAATAAACTAAACTAAAACGCAAACCACAGACCAGTACGAACACCGACCACGACCTAACCCTCTCCATTTCTATCCTCTATCCTACTTCACCCTCCACCTCTGACCCACTACTCTCTATCCCTTCCCACCTCCACCAGGAACCTCATGCCTTGTATCTCTATCCTCTATCCTCTCTCGCTTTCCTATTCCATACAGGTGTGATGGATAGAGAAGAGGTGTCTAGTAGCATGTGAGGGAAGATGGTGGAGAAGAAATGGGAGAAGAGGAAGGATAGAGAGGAAGGAAGATGAGGAAGGGGGACGTGGAAGGAAGGGAAGGAAGGGGGAGAGGAAGGAAGTAAAGGAAGGGAGGAAAGAAAGATGAGGAAGAGGAAGGGAGGAAAGGAAGGAAGATGAAGGAAGAATTGGAAGGAAAATGAGGAAAGAAGGAAGAAGAAGAAGGATATAGAGGAAAGAAGAAGAGGAGGAAGAAAGAAGAGAAATTCGAATAGATGGAAATCAAAGAAGATAGAAGAATAAACGGATTAGATGGAAGGAAAGTGTGATGAGGGGCAGCATAGAAAAGCGCCGACAGAAAGGAAGAAAAAAACAGGAACGATAACAACAACAACAAAAAAGTAGAAGAATAGAATGGTGATGAAGAAGACGGGGATGAAGATGACGACGACGAAAAAGAACAGGAAAAAAAGAAAGAAGCAGAAAAAAAATTATGAAAAAGGAAAATAAAAAACAACAGAAAAATGAAAGAGAAAAAGAAACAAGCAGAAAAAGATTATAAAAATTTAAATAATGAACAGCAGGAAAACAAAAATAAAGAAAAAAACAACAAAAAGAGAGAAAAAGAAAGAAGAAACAACAACAAAAAAAGGGAAATGACAACAAACAGGAAAAAAGAAAGAGAAAAAAGAAAGAAGCCAAAAGGGAAATGAAGAACAAAAGGTAAAAAAAAGGAAGAAGCCGAAAAAGATAATAAAAAAAGGGAAATACAGAACAACCACGAGAACACGAACGCCTCCGTACTCACCTCTATCTCGAAGACCTGCGTGGAGTCGTCGAGGAAGGCGACCTGGACTCGGAGAGTCTTGAGGGCCTTGTGTCGCGCCAGCTCGGAGGCCCGCACGTTGTACGTTCCCGAAGAGCCTCCGAAGGCGCGACGCGACACTCCCTCCAGCATCCCCTCCTGCAGAGAACGAAAGGGGGGGGGTTAGTTCGGTTGCTTTTATTTTGCTTCTGTTGGAGTGGGGGATGTGCTGGCTTTTCTCTTTTTCTTTTTTCTCTTTCTTACTTTTACTCTTCTGTTTTCCTTTCTCTCTCTCTCTCTCTCTCTCTCTCTCTCTCTCTCTCTCTCTCTCTCTCTCTCTCTCTCTCTCTCTCTCTCTCTCTCTCTCTCTCTCTCTCTCTCTCTCTCCTTCTTCCTTTATTTCTCCCCTTACCAATTCCCGTATCAGTTCCCATCCCATCTCCCCTCCTCCCTGATCTCCATCCCCTTCCCTCTCGCCCCTCTCACTCCCCACCCTCATCTCCACCTCTCTCCCCTCCCCTTCCCCCCTCCCCTTCCCCTTCCCCTCCCCTCCCTCTCCCCTCCCCCTCTCCCCTCTCCCTCTCCCTCTCCTCTCCCCCATCCCCACTGCCTCCCATATAAATGAGCAAAACCGCCCGTGGGACATTATCGCCAGCTTCCCAGCCTCTTCGTCATCGTCTTCAACCATATCCGCCAAGACATAGTGAAAGAAAGAGAGGGTAAAGAGTGAGTGAAAGAGAGAGAAGAAGAGAGAGAAGAAGAGAGAGAAGAGTGAGAGAGCGAGAGAGAGAGAGAGAGAGAGAGAGAGAGAGAGAGAGAGAGAGAGAGAGAGAGAGAGAGAGAGAGAGAGAGAGAGAGAGAGAGAGAGAGAGAGAGAGAGAGAGAGAGAGAGAGAGAGAGAGAGAGAGAGAGAGAGAGAGAGAACAGAGACAGAGACAGACCGATAGACAGAGAGAGAAAGAGAGAGACAGAGACAGAGAGAAAGATAAAACAGAGAGAAGGCGAGAACACTATCAACCAGCCTCAAAATAATGTCACGTCCCCCAGCGCAAACAGCCCGTCAGCATCGCGCAACAGCTGCAGCGGAGGACCCATGACTGGCATTTTCCGCGCAATATATCGAGCAACGGAGCGAGGTGACGACTGACCCCAAGCTCGCGGGGTCGAGATTGCAAAGGGTTGTTCAGCTGGAGATGCGTCTTCGTTCAACCTCGTTCGTCACTTGTTCGGCCTTTAGCATGGCATCTTTTAAAGGATTGTCTTTTATTTTTTTATCTTCATTCCTTTTTATAATTTCTGTGACGCTTTTTTTCTAGAATTGTTTTATATCATCGTTCTTATCATCATTTTCATAACCTTTTTTTGAAACTGCTTTTGGTTTATAACATCGTTCCTATCATCATTTTTTTATAACTTTTTATTTAGATAAGCTATTGCTTTATATCATCATTCCTATCCTCATTTTCCTAACGTTTTTTTAGAAATGTTATTGTTTTATATCATCGTTTCTATCATCATGTTTATACCTTTTTAAAAACTGTTTTTGTTTTATATTATTCCAATTATTGTTTTTATTGTTTTCTTATATCTATCATTATTCATCATTCCTAACATCATTTCTAAAACTTTTAGCATAATTTTTTTCATTATCATATTTTTATCTTAACATCCTTTTTAACATGGTTACTGTGATGATTATTGTTAATGTTATCATTATCATTATCGACATAATTACAATAATATAACAATGGCCACTGTTATTAATACAGAATCTTAATCTTATCATTATCAACATGATTATCATTAACATTACTATTAACATCATAAAATTTAACAATTAGCATTAATCACGCCATTCTTATCACATGTTCCATGATCACCACTACTAGGTCATCACCCTTGCAAACCTTTTACTCCCCCAACTCTAAAAACACGACCCCGTTCATTATAAAAAAAAAATCCTTTTAGCCCCACCACGCATACCAAATTCCGCAAGAATTTAATTTCGCCTTTGCAGTGTACAGTGCAAAAATAACACAACACAAAACATTTACCTGAACGCAAAGCTAACCCCAACGCTTGTTCATTTGCACAATTTTCTCTCCTGGGGTCAGAGCATTCTAGTAACACAGGAACTGCCTGGGTTATACATTTTCACGAAATAGGAAATGAATAAAGAAAAAAAAAACGAAGTGTAAAATAAGAAACAAAAATAATTATACCGAAAGCAAAGTACAAGGGAATAATGCGAACCTTATGAAAACAAAAAACAAAAAAAACAACAACACAGTATTAATCCTCGGAAAAGAAAAGAAAAAAATAGAAACGAAAGGGAATAGAACGAAAGTAAAGTATACCTTACGAAAAAAAGAAAAAAAGAAAACCTACAAAAAAGCTAAATAATAATAACAATAATAATATCTACCCTGTGGACTAGAATACCTAACCCCGCTTTCTGTTCTTTCTTCTTCCATGTCCACTTTTTTCTTCATGGAACAATGTTTTGCAAATTTCATTACGCTGTACTTTGATGCTTACCTTCCATTCAAAAACTTCTTTTCTCCTAATTTTTTTTAAAGCTTTAATTATTACAATCTTTTCCGACCTAAACTCCCGCACGGTTAACTAATAAACAAGAGAGATTTTTCTCCCTCTCCTTTCTTTGTTCTTAGATCAAAGACTTCAGAGGTCAAAGGTCAAAGTAAACGATAACGTGTTTATTCATGCGACGGCATTCATGCGACATTCTAAACGGCCATTAAAAATAATGTAAAGATGAATAAATCAAATGTAAAAGCACAAATAAAATAAATACACTATACGTACATATATATTATATAACATACAACACACCACACACACACACACACACACAACACACACACACACACACACACACACACACACACACACACACACACACACATATATATACATATATATATATATATATATATATATATATATATATATATATATATATATATATGAAAAATGGAATAATGTCGCATATATATAACATACACATATACCTACATAAGCCTGTAGACAAAACACACGACATAAAACTAGATTAAACAAACAAAAGAAACACACCAAAATTCAGCAAAAGAAACATCTGACATCCGCTGAACTATAAAGTATATATATCATATAAAGAAAAATCCTGCCTTATAAAAAAAAAAAAAAAAAAAAAAAAAAAAAAAAAAAAAAAAATCCCTGCAGACGTGGCATCCGATGACCTTCTGGGACACATCTGGCTTCTGGTCCTCTCGCAAGATGTCAGGCTACATCCGGTAACTCTCTCTATTGCTCTCGCTCTCTCTCGCTCTCGTTCTCTCTTTCGTTCTCGTTTTCTTTCCCTTTCCCTCTCTCTCGTTCTTTGCCCCCACGTTGTCGTTTTCTCCCCCTCTCTCCCTCTCTCTCGCTCTCGATCTCGTTCTCTTTCCCTTTCCCTCTCTCTCGTTCTTGCTCTCGCTTTCGTTCTCTCTTTCGTTCTCGTTCTCTCCCCCTTCTCTTTCTCTTCTCTTCTCTCTCTTCTCTCTCTCTCTCTCTCTCTCTCTCTCTCTCTCTCTCTCTCTCTCTCTCTCTCTCTCTCTCTCTCTCTCTCTCTCTCTCTCTCTCTCTCTCTCCCTCTCTCCCTCTCTCCCTCTTCTCCCTCTCTCTCTCTTCCCCTTCTCTCCCTCTCTCTCTCCTTCTCTCTCCTTCTCTCTCCCTTTCTCTCTCCTTCTCTCTCCTTCTCTCTCCTTCTCTCTCCTTCTCTCTCCTTCTCTCTCCTTCTCTTCTCCTTCTCTCTCCTTTCTCTCTCCTTCTCTCTCTCTTCTCCTCTCTTCTCCCTTCTCTTCTCTTCTCTCTCCTTCTCTTTCTCTCTCCTTCTCGTTCTCTCTCCTTCTCCTTCTTCTCTTTTTCTTCTCTGTTCTCTCTCTCTCTTCTCTTCTCTCTCCTTCTTCTCTAATAACCACGATCATCGTATCTAATGGCAACCATTACAAAATCATTATATTCATCTTATCATAGTTAATATCCTCTTCATCGTTATGCCCAATATCATTACCAGTATTACTACTATTCTCTTATCATCAATATCACTGTTATCATTATTATCATCTTGTCACATCACTATCGTTATCATTTCATTACTATCATTATCATTATCATTACTATTATTATCATATTATTATTTATTATCATTATTTTCATTACTATCATCATTAACTTATTATCATTATCATATGCATCCTAATAATATAATCATTGGCAGTGTAATCATTATCATCCATATAATCTTTATAGTTATCATTATTACCATTAGTGTAATCATTATCATTACCATTAATATAATTGCCATTATCATCGTTATTATCATCATTATTATCATTACAATCATTGTCAACATCATTAATATCATTATATCATCCTCATCATCATTACCATTATCATTTCGCTATACCATCACCATCAGTTAGTTTAATTATCATCACTATTATCATTACTATTATTACTATCACAATTATCATTATCGTTATTATTATCATCATTATCATTGTTATTGTTATTGTTATCATTGGTATTAGTAGTAGTAGTATTGTTATTATCATTAATATCATCATTATTATCATTATCATCTTTATCATCTTTATCATCATTATCATAATAATCAACATCATCATCACTATCATAACCCCCCCCCTTCCTCCCGCTATCCTTTCAATTCACTTCCTGTTTACACGCAAACCTTTTACCGCATCAAAATATAAAACTCTCTCTCTCCTCCCCCTCTCCCCCCTCTCTTCCTCCTTCCCTCCCCTCCCTCCCTCCCCTCTCCCTCCCCCCTTTCCCTTCCCTCCCCTTCCCTCCTCCCTCCCTCCCCCCCTTTTCCCCCCTCTCCCCTCCCTCCTCTCCCTCTTCTCCCTCCCTCCCTTCTCCTTCTCCCTCTCTCTCCCCCTCACTCTCTCTCTAAACATGAGGTCTTAAATTAGCCTCATGATCTCATTCCGACCCGCTTATGAGAGCATTGCCTTTCGCTTGATTCGGGATCTCATCTCGCATTCATTAATTCATGGCCATGATCGTGATTCGAATGCGCAATATTTATCGTGAATGCCGTGTGGCGATGATGATGAATAACAATGGTAATGGTAATGGTTATGATAATTAGT